GCAATTCGTACTTATTGAAGTATTTAATTATATTTAATTCGCTATTTATTTGCATTTAACTGCGAAGAATACTACTTTCGTATTTAACCAACTAAATAACAACCCTAGATACAGTGAGCAATTATAAGAAAGTGTTGTCAAGCCGTCATGACAGCTGCCAATGTTATAGCATTGGGGTCTGTTGTCAGTTGCAGGAGCAATATTGTTATGTTTCTTACTGTTTGAAACGTTTACGTGCTCGAGTAGTTTCACTTTAAAACGGTGGTGTCCCTTACCTTGTTCATCTCGGTAATGACCGCCAACACAAAAGATCTATACTGCAAATACTACTCGAAGTACGATACCTCTGTACCAAGGACTCCCTGAAAATATCGTATCTTAATATCAAAGAGAGTGGTTCGTGTTCAAACCTAGGAAAGAGGGGGTGAAATGTAGTTCAAATCAGCTCGGAGATTACCATCGGAGGAGAGCGGGTGCGAGGTCGCGTAGCCCAGCGCCGAGCTCCTCAGCGAGCCGAGGCCTGCCTACCCCAGGTGAGAGAATCGTTTTGTCGGCAGTCGCTGCGCTCCTGCCTTTGCGACGCGCAGCGGAGCAAATCGTAAGACCGAAAATGACATCCGTCCTGGAGATTTTGGTAGCGTAAGCGGCTTATCTTGATGTTTGTATGTTGTACATGTCGCTAGGTTGGAACAGCAACAAGTGCCAATATCAAAACAGACTACACCGGGAATTAGATCCAGTGCGCTGCTGACAGCTGCTATTGTTTACTTTGTTTTGTTTACAAACGTAAACAAAAAGTAAACAATAGCAGCTGCTCAAGATGCGATACTTTTGTCGTCCGATTGCCATCAAAAATGCTGCTCAAATTGGAAAAAGCAGTGCTTATTAAGCACTCATAACCTCTCCCCGACGTCTGCCTTCCTTTACTGTAGCCGATGGAGACGGGCATCAATGACGAGAGAAGTATGTGCGTCTCAAAGCCACTCATGACATATTATAATCTTAATAATAAACAACTTTGAAATTCCTATAGTGGTGCCAATGCCAGAATAGAGGCCAAATCTGAATACGGTAATAGAGAAAAAGTATCTGGTTTTAAATAGTCATTTGATTTTGCTTTGTAAAGAATGTCATCAGATCAACAACCTTGGACTTTCCAGATGCAGGTGACCTAATGCCACAAGTTGTGGCCACAACGAACTTCGCCTTTGTGCGAAGCAGAAACATATCTGATAGCCTAGCAGTCACTTCGCATTTCACCTTCCCACCCGCAAGACCGACTTACACCCTATTATCATGCTCAAGCCATCGCTCATCCTCAGTTTTGCCATCGTAGACTACGGTTAGAGCCAGCATTCCAGTGCGATTGAGATACTTAATGGGTTCTGATATCGAAAATCGAAATACGGAGCTACAAACTCGAGAGCTCCAGGATAGGGTTCCAGATGTGACACTTGTGAATGCAATACTTCGCAAACAGGAACAACAAAACCCGGTGTATGTATGATCTGCAGGGTAATGTGGTACCTTTTTGCCACCTCTCATAGCAATAAGGGGATTTAGCACCATTCATGTGGAAATCAATGCAACAGGGGCTGTTCGAGCGCCGCAGATGGCAAACTCATTCTGGAACCTACTTCCGTGCGCTCAAGTCAACAACTACGCTCGACTTTCAAGACCAAGCATGCGTGCTTTCTTCACTATACTAGTGGCTGGTGTCGCTCTTCTCGCAAGTAGTGAAGGACTCTTGCTCACGACGGAGTCAGACCAGTCCCAGATCACTCAGCTGGGTAAGAACACTCAACTCGACAAGCGTTTCCTTCGAGTTGGCACGCCGGTCGACCCCGTCAATAACGAAGAGAGAACGTGGGCTCGCATCAATGGCT